GGGGGGGGAGGTTGCTGTGAGCTGTAATGCCATGGCACTCTGCCTAGGGGGACAGCTTGAGGCTCTGTCTCAAAAAAAAAAAAAAGTATCAAAACTAACTCTCAGGCTGGGCACGGTGGCTCACAGCTATACTCCTACGACTCTGGGAGGCTGAAGCAGGTAGATTGCCTAAGTTCACGGTTAGAGACCAGGTTGAGCAAAAGACAGACTCCAGTCTCTAAAAATAGCTGGGCCTTGTGGCAGGTGCCTGTAGTCCCAGCTACTCGGGAGGCTAAGGCAAGGGGATCACTTGACCCCAAGAGTTTGAGGTTGCTGTGAGCTGTGACACCATAGCACTCTACCGAGGGTGACATAATGAGAGTCTGTCTCAAATAAATAAATAGCTACCTTTAGTCCAAGCAGGGCAAGTGGCAATACCTTATCCTAATTTGGATGGTTTTCTGCATCAATTCCAGGATGTATGTAATTTTCATCGTAGACACAGGACATTGCTTACTTTCTGGGTCACCTCAGAGACAAAGGATGGTCCATTATCATCCTGTGTGGAGGAAAGGAGACTATGAGTATTCTGATGACCTGGGAGATCATTGAGTCCACTGTGTTCAGCTTCTTGGAGAAATGGTTCCTCTGGTTCCCACTGGGGGTCTACTTGAAAAAGTTTATGGGTAGCCACAGGACACTGTGCAGCATATCCAGGTGCAGACAGAGGAAAGCAAGCTTTCTCCAAATGGACAATGCCATGGAGTAGCCAAACATGGTGATTCATTGAGGAGGAGCTGCTAAGCTGTCTTTGCAGCTGCCTGCCCATGCCATCTTCCATCTGCCTGGCCTATGGGAGGCTGCCACCTATCATCCTCTCATCCACTGAGGCCTGTTCCTGCTCTGCACTGGTATAAGAACACAGGAATTCTAAAGTCTCTGTCTTGGGCTGACAGCCCCTGGAGTCCATTTCAGAATGAGTTCCTTCAGAGGGGTTCTGGGTACCTCAGATGCTCCTTTCTTCTCTTATGATAAGACAAGCCTCTACTCAGCCTGAAAAAAGTATTTACTGATACAAACCTAGGAATCTGAGTGAAATTGCCAATCACTGAAAGGGTAGACCCCCACACACTGGGCTCCCTGTGCAAAAAGTTGCCCTTCTTTATTTGAACTGCCCCAGTCACATAAACAGTTGCAAATGGGATCCTCTCAAATGAGGTCCAACCAAATCCATCAAGGTACCACATTCTCAATGTGTATATTCATGCAGGTGCCTCATAAGAAGCTAAACCAAAGCTTCGGGTAGAAGAGTTTGTGAGAATTCTGTCTCCATTTAGTTGTACCATCCTAAGTGTCAGAGCTCCAGTCTTTAGTTTTAGATATCTAAATCTAGCCAGGATATCAAGGCCCCACAGAAAAGATCACCCCCAGTGACCTCCTTAATCGTTCTGCCAGTGGCCTGATTTCCTCTGGCAATCAGCTTGACTTTCTGGGCTGAAGTCCCAGGTGGCAATGCTACTGTCCTGATCATTGCATATTGAGGAACCTACAGAACTCCTAAACAGGCAAGTTCCTGAGGCTCATTCTCTTGGCAGGATTGAGAAAAAACACAGTCCTTTATAACAACTCAATGCCCAGAGACAAAGAGACCATCCTCTCACAATATGGTTCAGTGGTACCCAACATCACAGCGACTCATGCCTATAATCCTAGTACTCTGGGTGACTGAGGTAGAAGGATCCCTTCAGCTCAGGAGATCAAGACCAGCCTAAGCAAGAGTGAGATGCCCATCTGTACTTAAAAATAGAAAAAAATAGCCAGGCATGATGGTGTGCACCTATAGTGTCTCAGAAACCTGGGAGACTGAGGCAAGAGAATCACTTGAGCCTAGGAGTTTAAAGTTGCTGCGAGCTTAACTGATGCCACAGCACTCTGGGCAACTGAGTTAGACTGTCTCAAAAAAGAAAAAATATTGTTCAGTGGCTTTGAGAACAATGTCACCAACCTGGGAAGTCTCCCACCATTCTATACTAAAACTCCAAGGCTTATTCCTTGCTTTTCATACTATTAAAATTCTTCCTATGACTCAGGAAATCCCAAAGCCAGGATAGTCATAAGGACCTGTTTTAGTTTTCCAAAGGCATTTTGACAGTTTGTAGTACAGATCAGGGACTTCACATCTGTTGAAGGCCCTATTTAAGGGCTTTGTCATCAGTTCAAAGTCTGAGATCCAACACGATAGAACCCTGTCTCTTCCTAGACACCTTAGATAAGTAGCCTGCTGTTTGCAAATCTGTCCAATTGCAGATTCCACAAGTCCCCACATAAGCTCCCATCAAACAGGGCAGGAGAGCCCTTTTAAAGCCCTTAACACAGTCCAGCAGCGCTGAAAGGCCACTCCAGCTCTAGGATCCTGTCACTCAAATGTAAGTGAGAATTGTTCATATCATTTGTACAATGTTATTAGTGGCATATAGATCCTACACGTACCCATTCTCATTGGTATTTCTCACTTTCGGTAGCTTTCTTCTTGCCAATGCTATAAGGATGTGCTGGTGTGTTGAGGCTTTAACTTTAAAGTGAAATGCTCCAAAATGGCAGTTTCCTGCAAGTTTCACCAAGCCCTGCCAGCTGGCCCCTCCCACCCACCCCCTGCCTGGCTCCCAGAGCATGAGACCGGATTGGTGCTAGGGATCAATTGGCAGCCAGAAGGGCCCCAGTAGATTGTTTCTGTCTATTTGGTTTGTGACCATTGAATCCCAGCTATCAATTTGCATCCAGGGCTTCAGTGCCTCAGGGGCCTTTACTTGTAAAAGTCCACTAATCAGGTCCCCAGGGCTTCTATGTGGATATTTGGGGTTTTTTGTTTGCTTTTGAGACAGACTTTCACTATGTCACCCTCAGTAGAGTGCTGTGGCATCACAGCTCACAGCAACCTCAAACTCTTGGGCTCAAGTGATTCTCTTGCCTCAGCCTCCCAAGTAGCTGTGACTACACACGCCTGCCACAATGCCCAGCTATTTTTTGTTCTTATAGTCATTGTTAAGCAGGCTCGGGCTGGGTCTATACGAGCAGCCCTAGTACATGTGGCTGGCACCCTAACCACTGAGCTATGGGTGCCAAGCCTCTATGGGGATATTTGGGTTGGAGCTATGGTGAGGCACGGGACTCCCGGGTCAATTTGCACCCAGGGCTTCTATGGGGATATTTGGTTTGGAGCTACTAGTGAGGCAAGGGACTCCTAGGTCCCTTCATCATCTGAGACCTGGACTTGAAAGAACCATTTGCTTTCCAGAGAGCTTCTTGTTATCTGGGGCCCCTTGTAATTTTGGACAGGGTTCTTTCCAATGTCTTTCATTTGTTCCAAAAAGCATCCATGATTGGGCGGCGCCTGTGGCTCAAAGGAGTAAGGTGGCAGCCCCATATGCTAGAGGTGGTGGGTTCAAACCCAGCCCTGGCCAATAAATAAATAAATAAATAAAATTTAAAAAAAAAAGAAAAGCACCCATGATCAGGGGCATCCTGATCATATCTCACCCCAGGGTAACCTCTCCTTTCAACTGTCTCAAAAGACCCTTTTGTGGCACAGCCAGCAGAATGACCACAGTTTTTAGCTTACTTTAAAGGTCATATTAACCAAGAGTGAAGGATTCATGCTAATTCCCCTGGCTATGGGTGCCCACTTGCCAAACTGACCCCCCTGCCGGGCAAAGAGAGACCTTTTCTGAACATCAATCACAACATAATAGACATGAGATTAAAGAGTTAGGTCAAGGGGTACCCTCCCTAGCCTATTCCATGATGCCTAGATGGGGCATTCCTCTCCCCTTGCAGTGAACCACTTGGTGGTGGGCCACATGTGCTGGTCCTCCCTCCCACCAGGTCTACTCTCAGGCTGTGCCCCTCCCAGCATCTCTCCCCAGCGAACAGCTGAGTTCTGGTGGGAGCAAGAGGACCTCATTTATCAAAAATTTTATAAACCCAGATCATTTTGTATATCAAAAACAATGAATTTATCTCAAGCAGAGAACTTGAGACAACATTTTAACTCTTTATTGGCAGGTCAACCATTTGATTTCTGAATTTTCCTCCATAAAATTTGCCCTTTACTAAAAACTTGTGCACAAGAATTGGCCATCCTAAAAAAACTGGCATACCTTTGATAAATACTTGCAAGTAGAGGTGCCACAAACCAACAAGGGTGCCAGAAGGGCTCATTCTCCTTGTCTTCCTTTATTTTTAAGGGATTGGCCCAGCATGGTAGTTCACACCTGTAATCCTAGCATTTTGGG